GGGTGTGTGGTCATCATATTGTTTAGTATTGCTGGGTGTGTGGTCATTATATTGTGGAGTATTGCTAGGTGTGTGGTCATCATATTGTGGAGTATTGCTGGGTGTGTGGTCATCATATTGTGGAGTATTGCTGGGTGTGTGGTCATCATATTGTAGAGTATTGCTAGGTGTATGGTCATCATATTGTGGGGTATTGCTAGGTGTGTGGTCATCATATTGTGGAGTATTGCTGGGTGTGTGGTCATTATATTGTGGAGTATTGCTAGGTGTGTGGTCATCATATTGTGGAGTATTGCTGGGTGTGTGGTCATCATATTGTGGAGTATTGCTGGGTGTGTGGTCATCATATTGTGGAGTATTGCTGGGTGTGTGGTCATCATATTGTGGAGTATTGCTGGGTGTGTGGTCATCATATTGTTTAGTATTGCTGGGTGTGTGGTCATCATATTGTGGAGTATTGCTGGGTGTGTGGTCATCATATTGTTTAGTATTGCTGGGTGTATGGTCATCATATTGTGGAGTATTAATAGGTGTGTGGTCATCATATTGTGGAGTATTGCTAGGTGTATGGTCATCATATTGAGGAGTATTACTGGGTGTGTGGTCATCATATAGTGGAGTATTGCTAGGTGTATGGTCATCATATTGTGGGGTATTGCTAGGTGTGTGGTCATCATATTGTGGAGTATTGCTGGGTGTGTGGTCATCATATTGTGGAGTATTGCTGGGTGTGTGGTCATCATATTGTTTAGTATTGCTGGGTGTATGGTCATCATATTGTGGAGTATTACTAGGTGTGTGGTCATCATATTGTGGAGTATTGCTAGGTGTATGGTCATCATATTGAGGAGTATTACTGGGTGTGTGGTCATCATATTGTGGAGTATTGCTAGGTGTATGGTTATCATGTTGAGGAGTATTGCTAGGTGTGTGTGGTCATCATATTGTGGAGTATTGCTGGGTGTGTGGTCATCATATTGTGAAGTATTGCTAGGTGTGTGGTCATCATATTGTGGAGTATTGCTGGGTGTGTGGTCATCATATTGTGGAGTATTGCTGGGTGTGTGGTCATCATATTGTTTAGTATTGCTGGGTGTATGGTCATCATATTGTGGAGTATTAATAGGTGTGTGGTCATCATATTGTGGAGTATTGCTGGGTGTATGGTCATCATGTTGAGGAGTATTGCTAGGTGTGTGGTCATCATATTGTTTAGTATTGCTGGGTGTGTGGTCATCATATTGTAGAGTATTGCTGGGTGTGTGGTCATCATATTGTGGAGTATTGCTGGGTGTGTGGTCATCATATTGTTTAGTATTGCTGGGTGTGTGGTCATTATATTGTGGAGTATTGCTAGGTGTGTGGTCATCATATTGTGGAGTATTGCTGGGTGTGTGGTCATCATATTGTGGAGTATTGCTGGGTGTGTGGTCATCATATTGTAGAGTATTGCTGGGTGTGTGGTCATCATATTGTGGAGTATTGCTGGGTGTGTGGTCATCATATTGTTTAGTATTGCTGGGTGTGTGGTCATTATATTGTGGAGTATTGCTAGGTGTGTGGTCATCATATTGTGGAGTATTGCTGGGTGTGTGGTCATTATATTGTGGAGTATTGCTAGGTGTGTGGTCATCATATTGTGGAGTATTGCTGGGTGTGTGGTCATCATATTGTGGAGTATTGCTGGGTGTGTGGTCATCATATTGTGGAGTATTGCTGGGTGTGTGGTCATCATATTGTGGAGTATTGCTGGGTGTGTGGTCATCATATTGTTTAGTATTTCTGGGTGTGTGGTCATCATATTGTGGAGTATTGCTGGGTGTGTGGTCATCATATTGTTTAGTATTGCTGGGTGTATGGTCATCATATTGTGGAGTATTACTAGGTGTGTGGTCATCATATTGTGGAGTATTGCTAGGTGTATGGTCATCATATTGAGGAGTATTACTGGGTGTGTGGTCATCATATTGTGGAGTATTGCTAGGTGTATGGTTATCATGTTGTGGAGTATTGCTAGGTGTGTGGTCATCATATTGTGGAGTATTGCTGGGTGTGTGGTCATCATATTGTGAAGTATTGCTAGGTGTGTGGTCATCATATTGTTTAGTATTGCTGGGTGTGTGGTCATCATATTGTGGAGTATTGCTAGGTGTATGGTTATCATGTTGAGGAGTATTGCTAGGTGTGTGGTCATCATATTGTTTAGTATTGCTGGGTGTGTGGTCATCATATTGTGGAGTATTGCTGGGTGTGTGGTCATCATATTGTTTAGTATTGCTGGGTGTATGGTCATCATATTGTGGTGTATTACTAGGTGTGTGGTCATCATATTGTGGAGTATTGCTAGGTGTATGGTCATCATATTGAGGAGTATTGCTAGGTGTATGGTCATCATATTGTGGGGTATTGCTAGGTGTGTGGTCATCATATTGTGGAGTATTACTGGGTGTGTGGTCATTATATTGTGGAGTATTGCTAGGTGTGTGGTCATCATATTGTGGAGTATTGCTGGGTGTGTGGTCATCATATTGTGGAGTATTGCTGGGTGTGTGGTCATCATATTGTGGAGTATTGCTGGGTGTGTGGTCATCATATTGTTTAGTATTTCTGGGTGTGTGGTCATCATATTGTGGAGTATTGCTGGGTGTGTGGTCATCATATTGTTTAGTATTGCTGGGTGTATGGTCATCATATTGTGGAGTATTACTAGGTGTGTGGTCATCATATTGTGGAGTATTGCTAGGTGTATGGTCATCATATTGAGGAGTATTACTGGGTGTGTGGTCATCATATTGTGGAGTATTGCTAGGTGTATGGTTATCATGTTGTGGAGTATTGCTAGGTGTGTGGTCATCATATTGTGGAGTATTGCTGGGTGTGTGGTCATCATATTGTGAAGTATTGCTAGGTGTGTGGTCATCATATTGTTTAGTATTGCTGGGTGTGTGGTCATCATATTGTGGAGTATTGCTAGGTGTATGGTTATCATGTTGAGGAGTATTGCTGGGTGTGTGGTCATCATATTGTTTAGTATTGCTGGGTGTATGGTCATCATATTGTGGAGTATTACTAGGTGTGTGGTCATCATATTGTGGAGTATTGCTAGGTGTATGGTCATCATATTGAGGAGTATTACTGGGTGTGTGGTCATCATATTGTGGAGTATTGCTAGGTGTATGGTTATCATGTTGTGGAGTATTGCTAGGTGTGTGGTCATCATATTGTGGAGTATTGCTGGGTGTGTGGTCATCATATTGTGAAGTATTGCTAGGTGTGTGGTCATCATATTGTTTAGTATTGCTGGGTGTGTGGTCATCATATTGTGGAGTATTGCTAGGTGTATGGTTATCATGTTGAGGAGTATTGCTGGGTGTGTGGTCATCATATTGTTTAGTATTGCTGGGTGTATGGTCATCATATTGTGGAGTATTACTAGGTGTGTGGTCATCATATTGTGGAGTATTGCTAGGTGTATGGTCATCATATTGAGGAGTATTGCTAGGTGTATGGTCATCATATTGTGGGGTATTGCTAGGTGTGTGGTCATCATATTGTGGAGTATTGCTGGGTGTGTGGTCATTATATTGTGGAGTATTGCTAGGTGTGTGGTCATCATATTGTGGAGTATTGCTGGGTGTGTGGTCATCATATTGTGGAGTATTGCTGGGTGTGTGGTCATCATATTGTGGAGTATTGCTGGGTGTGTGGTCATCATATTGTGGAGTATTGCTGGGTGTGTGGTCATCATATTGTGGAGTATTGCTGGGTGTGTGGTCATCATATTGTTTAGTATTGCTGGGTGTGTGGTCATCATATTGTGGAGTATTGCTGGGTGTGTGGTCATCATATTGTTTAGTATTGCTGTGTGTATGGTCATCATATTGTGGAGTATTAATAGGTGTGTGGTCATCATATTGTGGAGTATTGCTAGGTGTATGGTCATCATATTGAGGAGTATTACTGGGTGTGTGGTCATCATATTGTGGAGTATTGCTAGGTGTATGGTCATCATATTGTGGGGTATTGCTAGGTGTGTGGTCATCATATTGTGGAGTATTGCTGGGTGTGTGGTCATCATATTGTGGAGTATTGCTGGGTGTATGGTCATCATATTGTGGAGTATTAATAGGTGTGTGGTCATCATATTGTGGAGTATTGCTAGGTGTATGGTCATCATATTGAGGAGTATTACTGGGTGTGTGGTCATCATATTGTGGAGTATTGCTAGGTGTATGGTCATCATATTGTGGGGTATTGCTAGGTGTGTGGTCATCATATTGTGGAGTATTGCTGGGTGTGTGGTCATCATATTGTGGAGTATTGCTGGGTGTGTGGTCATCATATTGTTTAGTATTGCTGGGTGTATGGTCATCATATTGTGGAGTATTACTAGGTGTGTGGTCATCATATTGTGGAGTATTGCTAGGTGTATGGTCATCATATTGAGGAGTATTACTGGGTGTGTGGTCATCATATTGTGGAGTATTGCTAGGTGTATGGTTATCATGTTGAGGAGTATTGCTAGGTGTGTGTGGTCATCATATTGTGGAGTATTGCTGGGTGTGTGGTCATCATATTGTGAAGTATTGCTAGGTGTGTGGTCATCATATTGTGGAGTATTGCTGGGTGTGTGGTCATCATATTGTGGAGTATTGCTGGGTGTGTGGTCATCATATTGTTTAGTATTGCTGGGTGTATGGTCATCATATTGTGGAGTATTAATAGGTGTGTGGTCATCATATTGTGGAGTATTGCTGGGTGTATGGTCATCATGTTGAGGAGTATTGCTAGGTGTGTGGTCATCATATTGTTTAGTATTGCTGGGTGTGTGGTCATCATATTGTGGAGTATTGCTAGGTGTGTGGTCATCATATTGTTTAGTATTGCTGGGTGTGTGGTCATCATATTGTGGAGTATTGCTGGGTGTGTGGTCATCATATTGTTTAGTATTGCTGGGTGTATGGTCATCATATTGTGGAGTATTACTAGGTGTGTGGTCATCATATTGTGGAGTATTGCTAGGTGTATGGTCATCATATTGAGGAGTATTACTGGGTGTGTGGTCATCATATTGTGGAGTATTGCTAGGTGTATGGTCATCATATTGTGGGGTATTGCTAGGTGTGTGGTCATCATATTGTGGAGTATTGCTGGGTGTGTGGTCATCATATTGTGGAGTATTACTGGGTGTGTGAGCATCATATCGTGGAGTACGGTGAGCTGAGTAGTCATCATATTGAGGAGTACGGCGAGATGTGCGGTCATCATATCGTTTAGAATTGCGACGCGTGTGGTCATCATACTGAGGAGTATGGCGAGGTGTGCGGACATCATATTGAAGAGTACTGCGAGATGTGTGGTCATCAAATCGTGGAGTATGGCGAGATGTGCGGTTATCATACTGACGAGTACGGCGATGTTTTCGGTCATCATATTGACGAGTATGGCGATATTTGCGGTTATCATATTGAGTATGGCGAGGTTTACGTTCATCATATCGTGGAGTATGGCGAGGTGTACGGTCATCATATCGTGGAGTATGGCGAGGTGTACTGTCATCATATCGTGGAGTATGGTGAGGTGTTCGGTCATCATATCGTGGAGTATGGCGAGGTGTACGGTCATCATATCGTGGAGTATGGCGAGGTGTACGGTCATCATATCGTGGAGTATGGCGAGGTGTACCGTCATCATATCGTGGAGTATGGTGAGGTGTTCGGTCATCATATCGTGGAATATGGACAGGTGTTCGGTCATCATATCGTGGAGTATAACGAGGTGTTCGGTCATCATATCGTGGAGTATGGCGAGGACTGCGGTCATCATATTGAGTATTGCGAAATCCATCGTCAGGATATTTTAGACTAGAGAGGGATCTAGAGTCACAATTATTAGAGTACCGATGAGTTGACTGGCTTCCATTATTGCGTTGTGGAGTCATCCTTCGTCTATTACGCCCATTACTCTCACCGATAACTTCCACCAAAGCATTTGCTGCCATTTTGCAATCCATAGCTTGGCTGCTGACTGGGGGTCCACCGCGAGATGGCTGAGGAAAGTTTTTAGTTGTTTTGGTCATCAAATGTTGAGAATATGCACCCTCATATTGATGTGAAGGAGTTGGGTTTGTTAGCATACGTGTCTGTGATCCACTATAACGCGGTATGGTGGATGGTCCCGGGGTGGCATACGGTGTCATGAATGATGTCTGATCTGAAGGTGTGACAGGAGCATTAGCGTATTTTGAGAAACTATGAGAGAATGATGATGATGATTCGTCATCATCGTCGTTCCGCCGTTTTCGTTTGCCATAGTTTTCACTGTCTGACTCCGAATCTCCTTCATCATCCTCTTCATCGTCGTCGTTAATGAAGTCTTTATTTTCTTCGCGAATTTTCTGTTCATCTGTCGATAAATAACCAGAGATGAGTGACATGAAACTTATTTTCTCTTATTTTGTTTGTTCATATTAGTTTTAGTTAGTTTAGTTCATTTATTATACATCCAATACCTATTTTGTGAGAAAGGGGTAGTAGAAAGGGCTACAGAGGCACATAATTGGCTTAAAGAATTAACCCCACAGTTTACTTAGCAAAGCAAATTAAAATCTTGATGAGCTAGTTAAATAATCAAACAGGCTCGAGAACGACCACAGTTGCAGTTTTTAAATTAAGCAACTGACATATGTAGAGCACTCCCTTCATCTTTTGAAGTATTAAAGAACTGGCATATATCAAAAGGCTTTATGGTATAATTGGAAGCATAGAAGCAAGACTTTGTGGTATATTAAATTGGAAGAAGAGAAGCAAGGCTTTATGGTATAATAACTTGGAAGCACAGAAGCAAGGTATGGCATATATGGAACTTGGAAGGACAGAAACAGGTCTTTATGGTATAATAACTTGGAAGCACAGAAACAAGGCTGTGTGATATAATAACTTGGAAGCATAAAAGCAAGGCTTTATGGTATAATAACTCAGCACTGGGACGCTTCTGAGCCAAAGCAACAGCCTGTTGGGCCAAGCTCTCACAATTCAATCCTGGCCTCGATATGAGTTTGGGGAGTTGAAATTCCAGAACCTCTTCAGGTATGGATGAATCAAATACATACTAAGCACCAAGGCGTGGAAACACTGAGAACTTTTGCACCACTTACCATCGTCGTCAACCTCTTCCGAAGAGTCAGCTACAGCAGTTTTTAGTTTTTTCAATTTTTTCCTTTCATTTTCTTCATATTCTTCTTGCTCTTCTTCACTCTCCTCTGCTTTTGAGTAAATAAACTGGGACATGATAGGTGGTCTCTCTAAAATCCTGAAGATACAAGAATATTAAATTAATAACTTTAATAGTTTTTTTTTAGAAAACTGATTCACATTTTAAATAAACCTATATATATATATATATATATATATATATATATATATATATATATATATATATATATATATATATATATATATATATATATATATATATATATATATATAGCTGTCGATCGTAAAGGTAATTACGATCGTCGGTTATTATACCATAAGGCAATAGTTGATTCATTGCAACTATTGTTGCTGTTGTTTTAGATTTAGCTACTCAGAACGAAATGTCCATGTAGCACTGTCTATGGTGAGCCCGTAATTGAGTTCGGTAATTCGCGATAACCTTGTTACTCTGATATTTTCCCCAAAGTATTAAATAGAGGTGGTATTTCCTCCTTTTCCCTGTTTCATTTTCGCTTTTGTATTTAGTCGAGTTTTAATAACATTATCTTGGTGGTGGATGTAGGTCCAGAATGTATACTAGTGAGTCACATTTCATAATGGCTTTTCTAATCATTGTAGTGGCTGTGGAATGTGCATCTAATGCAGCTGCTGTCGTTGGATTAATTAGATGTGTAGGGCTTCAGTAGCTTCACATTCCAGTAAGTAGTGCAATAGTGCCTCTGCTTGTGTTCCACTGATGACACTCTGACAATTGGGATTATTACCTCCTAACTGCACTTGTAACCAAGTCTGAGTCTGTGTATGGCTAGTGCAATGTCTCTGGATATCTGTTTGTCAGGCCTGAAACAAACAATTGGGTTGTTCGTACCATATCGCAGTGGATCTTCCTTCCGCTACTGAAACGGCAGGAGATTCGATTCGGGTGAATCATCGGAACATCCGATCCGATGTGAGTGCTATCGGTCTGTAATTTTTTGCCTCTGCCTTATTTCCTCCTTTATGAAGTGGTGCTATCGCTGCGGTTTTTAGTATACTGGCGTTATTCCTGATACACTAAAAACAGCAGAGATAGCACCACTTCATAAAGGAGGAAATAAGGCAGAGGCAAAAAATTACAAACCGATAGCACTAACATCGCACATCACAAAAAATTTTGAGTGCTAAGAAGTAAGATCACAAAATACATGGAATCACAGCATCTCCATAACCCCGGATAACATGGTTTCAGAACAGGGCGCTCTTGCCTGTCACAGTTGCTGGACCACTATGATATGGCATTAGATGCTATGGAAGACAAACAAAACGCTGATGTAATTTACACAGATTTTGCAAAACTTTTGATAAATGTGACCATTATGTATCTATATGGTGTTATTGCACATAAAATGCGTTCAAAAGGAATTACCGGAAAAATAGGCAGACGGATCTACAATTTCCTGACTAACAGAACCCAATGTGTAATAGTCAACAAAATAAAATCCAGCCCATCAACCGTGAAGAGCTCAGTCCCCCAGGGTACTGTGCTTGCTCCAGTAATTTTTCTCATCCTCATATCGGACAAGAACACAACCTATATCACTGTATCATCCTTTACAGATGACACTAGGATCTTCATGAGAGTAGGCAACATAAAGGACACGGCAAACCTCCAGTCAGATGTAGGTCTACAGGTCTACAGAAAATAATATGGTGTTTAACGAAGATAAGTTCGTTGAAAAGCAGAGGTGCAACAGGTACTCTGAGAGTTATGATTAGTAAGAATTTAAAACAAAAAGATCAATGCATGAATGTTCGTAATAAGGCGAATAGGACACTGGGATTTATTAATCGAAGCGTTAGTAACAAGGCAACTGGTGTGGTTCTTAAGCTATATCTTGCTCTGGTTACCGACCATTTAGATTATGCAGTTCAGTTTTGGTCGCCGTATTATAGAATAAATATAAATTCACTTGAACGTGTCCAACGTAGGATCTTATCTTGAGGTTATCTTGAGATGATTTCGGGGCTTTAGTGTCCCCGCGGCCCGGTCCTCGACCAAGCCTCCACCCCCAGGAAGCAGCCCGTGACAGCTGACTAACACCCAGGTACCTATTTACTGCTAGGTAACAGGGGCATTCAGGGTGAAAGAAACTTTGCCCATTTGTTTCTGCCTCGTGCGGGAATCGAACCCGCGCCACAGAATTACGAGTCCTGCGCGCTATCCACCAGGCTACGAGGCCTTAGGATGACTAAGTTAATTCCCCAAATTAGAAATCTTTCATATGAAGACAGATTAACAAAGCTTAAGTTGCATTCACTGGAAAGGCGAAGAGTTACGGGTGACATGATAGAGGTTTACAAGTGGATGAATGGACATAACAGGGGAAATATTAATAGGGTATTAAAAATATCAACACAAGACAGAACACGAAACAATGGGTATAAATTGGATACGTTTAGATTTAGGAAAGTCTTAGGTAAGTACTGGTTCAGTAACAGGGTTGTTGATTTGTGGAACCAATTGCCGCGTAACGTGGTGGCGGTGGGGTCCCTCGATTGTTTCAAGCACGGGTTGGACAAGCATACGAGTGGTATTGGGGGGTTATAGATAGGAGCTGCCTCGTGTGGGCCAATAGGCCTTCTGCAGTTACCTTTGTTCTTATGTTCCTCTTTTATGAATGCATAATGTAAAATATCTACTTACATAACAGTAAAATAATGACACCTACATTAAATAATAACCAGGAAATAGTAAGTGGAAATTCTATCTGAACGAAAACTCAACACTAAATTTCTTGGAGGTTTTCATTAATATAAAGATTAAGAGTAAGAGATCTTATTCTAAATGGACCAGTTAACAACAAAACAAACATAATTTTCATTAAAGAATATATGTCAGAGCATATATACTTAGAGCAGAGCATACTTAGTCACTTATACATTAAAAATAGTGTTTTTAAACCATTAAGTTGTACACCGAAGGAACTGCCTACCTGCCAAAGTCGTAACATAAACAATTGCATATTTATTTACCTATTTATTAGTCCTTAAATAATTATTATTAACTGACGACAGCTATCGAGATTTTCCATAGGAAAATTACTGTTCTCTGACAAGATGCTACTTCAAAAGCTATTTAAATCCTGTGAAAATTGTAATGACCAGCAACAAGGAAATCCTTTTATTATGGACTAATTAAGCAAACAACATAAGTATTTTTAATTGAAGAACATATATCAGAGCATAGTTAGTGAGTTATAGATTAATAATAGTGAGATATTTATGTGGTATAATGAGAGTAAGCCCCTGGAAGCTGCATATTGAGAACATCCGAAATATACAAAAATAACATTCCTTTTCGGCCGTACGGACAAACGGCCGAATCCAGACGTTATTTTTAAGAAGCAAGTTGATCATTATTGGGTGGTCATCTCTTTTTAACTCTATTACCAGCAAAATCATTCCCCTTAATTATATAAACGCCAGCAACTGATAATTTAGGTGTTACGGCCCTCTCGGGACGCAACGGGGTTCTTACTCTGATGTTGTTAGAGGAAGATATATCCGTTCCCAAGCCAGTAGTGGCTATCAAGGGATGTGATCCGTAACGCAAGTAACTTAAAGGGAGTAGGGAAAGAAAGTTAAGAACTTAAGACTATAATTATCACCATCACTAAATAAATAATATATAAAATAGTGCACAGGGGGAGGGGTATTAACACTGTACAAGGGAATTGTCTTCGTACTGAAGAATCGCACAATGGTCTTCTCCTGAAGACTCTGGTTCAACTCTCTCGGTGCTGAGTCCTCGGTGCTTCTTCGTGGCCTCACAACGAATCCTTCTGAGAAGCTGAGCCTACCCTGGCCACAGGTCAGCCAAAACACAGGTCCACTGGGGGCACCGCCGTGGAGGCCGTCAACCACAAATCCAGCCGATCTCCTGGCAGGTTCCGGACCCGCAACGCTGGTCAGGCCACTCCACGAACGATATTAGGGTAACGCCCTAGACAGGAGCCTCGTGTGACACCACAAATCACTCTCCTGTCCTCGATACCCCAGTGGATAATCGTCTCCAGCAGTCGGTCCCGGGTAATCCTTCTACTGCCACTCCACTGGCAGGCTAACACACCACAGTGTTCTTCCGGGGGGACGACTTCACAACTGCTGCAGCAAAGTACCAGGTACAGAGACGGCTGCCTCGGGTAGACTGACTCAACTTCCAACACAGCGGTCCCAGGTCGACTCTGTAAGCAGACACGTCATCAATAACTGGGACACACTAAGGCACCTCAGTTACAGGCTCAGACACAAACGCCCACCTATCCACTCCATAGATGGCGCTGGTGTCTGAGCACCACCTCACCAGAGGTCAGCAGCGGCGGTGTAGAGTGCTGAACGGGACTGGAAACTGGCCCTTGTGGCCAGTACACGCCATCCTCACCAGGTGTCGTCGTCCGATTGGAGGGGGTTTCGGGAGCTGACCCACAGATGGCGCGGTGGTCACTGCTCTGTGCTCGGACGCTGGATCCGGGTTCGTAACACCTCCCCACCAAAAAGAATTTTGTTTGGGGTTCTATAAAAAGAGACACAAACCAAATTAGTACGGCGACACAACTCCAAATGGACTCACCATTACTGTAAACTGGCACGGCGAGGCTGTCTCGTCCACAGAACTGTCCTGCTGGACAATTCCGGCACAATGGGAACTTGCAGATAGAAGACGGTGATCTGTCTGAAGTACTTCTCCACACCTCCACCGAGATGTTAATCCGAAGCATAATCACACCTCTCTAGTAAGGATCGGTGTAGACACGATCTGGGGCGACTCGACACTTCCCTGTGTCGTGGCACCGATGATGGCTGATCACAGACGGCATTTCTGGTACCGGTCCGATGGTCCTTCAGGGAGACAGGAACCTGGAATACAGGGGTCTGATAATTCAGAGTGATCGCGACAGTGGGTAAGTCAATACTTACAGCATACCCTACTAGGTCCACACCTAGTCCCAACAGGGCTACTTGCACACCGAAGATGGCATTCGCTCTGCCACCGTCAGGTCGACCAACGTTCCGCATAACGCTGCATTGAGGCTCAGCTATCACGCGGGGGGTGTCAACCTGTTGGAAACAGTCACTCATATTACCGTATTGCGTACCTCCTGTATCAACCATCACCTTCCAGGTCCCTTCTTCAACTGCAACACTTGCAGTGTAAATCTCTAATCCCTGGGACCTCTTCACGATGTTCATGGGAGCCATCATCCTTCGGGTCGTCCACTGATCCTTACTGAGAACACAGAGAACACATACGAGAATCAAACAAAATATCGCTAAGAAACATTTGGTTACCTGAGGGATAAGCCTCCTGAGCCTGTAATGTCCATAGCCGGCTACATCCATTAGCCTGGTTTGGACCAAAGAGGGCACTAGAAACTTTGCACATACCTCACGTACCTCCGACGTCTGGGGAATCTCTGGCCGGTTCAGCATACGTTGTACTTTGCCAGGCTGCAAGTACACAGGTGCCTTCACTCCAGACTCTTCGGTATCCGTGGGTGCTTGCACACAAGGCCTCGCTTCTTGCTCAGGTACTTCTGCCATCGTAACCTCATGTTTCTTGGCGAGAGAAAAATCAGGAGACACTGCTAGAACGTTCTCAATCTGTAGGCGAGAGGACAAATTAAACAGTTACATCCGGGTCTGTCTTTACCTGGACATTACCATTGCCTGTAGACACCTCTGACCGTACTGTTCTGGCTGACTCGTCCGCTATCTTGGGATGATTGGTGCTCCAATCGGTCACCAAGTCATTGGCTAGTACCACGTCAATCCCAGCCACAGGGAGGGTATCGACTACTGCCAACGCACATGAGCCGCTGAAATAAGGCGAGTCGAGATGTACTGGCGCTAAGGGGGCGATATACTGCGTTCTCGGAAACCCAACCAGGACAACCTCTGGTCTCCCAACCACACTTACTCCCTCGGGTAACGAGCTCTCCACGATCAGGGACTGGGCTGCTCCACTATCTCTGAGCACTACAACTGATCTACCAGTATGATCACTCGATACATACCCGCCTGAAGTGTGAGGGGAAAACAATCTGGGTTCTTCCTGCGTCGTCGTCGACTGGCTTCCTGCTGGTGATATTACACAGCTCATCATCATCACCTCCCTACCTGCGCTGCCACCTCTTCTGCCTCGGCACCTAGCAGCTACATGCCCTTTCTGCCCACAGGTCCAACACACCATATTCCTCCTTGGACTCCGGTGTTTCGGACTACTAGGACTAGTCCTTCGAGGGCTACTTGGGGGCGTCTTCTTAGCGCTTTGTGGGACGGGTCTTTCCTCTTCGTCAAACCGGCGCTGGTAATTCCTTGGGACGTACTTAGCAGACGGCCTATGAGTCAGGATGTACTCTTCAGCCATGGTGGCTGCTGCACTCAAGGTCTCTACCTGCTGTTCCTCTAGGTACGTCTTCAGGTCTCCAGACAAACAATCCTTGAAGTCCTCGAGCAGAATTAGCTGCTCGAGGTCTTCCTTGGTCTCCACCTTCCGAGAGGCACACCATTCTTGAAAAAGTCGCTCCTTGATGGTGGCGAAGTCGGTGAAAGTGTGCTCTGAGGTCTTCTTCAGGTTTCTAAACTTCTGTCTATATGCCTTAGGTACCAATTGGTACGCCATGAGCACAACCTTCTTCAGCTTGTCGTAATCGCCGGAGTCGTCAAGGGATAACGTAGAGTAGGCGATTTGGGCCTTCCCAGTCAAGACTGACTGTATCATGATGGCCCAATTCTCCCTTGGCCACTCCAAAGAGGCAGCGACTTTCTCGAAGGCTGCAAAGAACTTCGAGACTTCCCTCTCATTGAATTTGGGGACCATTTTGATGTTTCTTACCGGATCGAAACCGCTGGTGTCCGTTGTTGGCCTCCGACCACCGCCTAATCGTAACACTTCTAGTTCATGTTTTCTGTCTTTCTTTTTCTTCTCTCTCTCGCTGTTTCTCTTCCCTTTCCCGCTCTTCTCTCTCTCTTTCTCGTTCTTCTCTCTCTCGTTTCTCTTCTCTTTCTCGTTCTTCTCTTTCTCTTTCTCGTTTCTCTTCTCTTTCTCTTTCTGCTTTCCTTTCTTCTAATTCTAAACGTCTCATCGCCATTTCCTTATCTTTCATCTCCATTTCTTTATCTTTTAATTCTCGTTCTAATTCTAACTTTTTCCACTCTATCTCGCGATTTATTTCTAGGGCACGCATTTTGACTGTTAGGAAGCTGATATTAAGCTCACCTGCATCACTGTCAACGTCACTGCCCTTATCTTCCTTTTCCGTGGAAGCTATGTCCTCACCTTCTTTTGTACTAGGAGCCTCGCCTTCCTGTTTCTCTTCTGCCTTCAAGTGCCGGTGAACCTTAGACAAGATCTCCACACGGGAATCACTGGCACGGATCTTGATCTCCAGGTAGGCGCTCACTAGTACAAGTTCCGGTTTGCTTAGATACTTTAATCTGGCAAGACAGTCCTCTCTGTTCAGAAAAGCCTGCACATCGTCCAGATCATCGATGGTAGCTTTCTCTGCCATTGTCACCGATGGAACACTTAACTAGACACTAGCACTGGACACACCGCTTACACTTTAGCACTTAACGCACCGAGCACAGTTCTACGTCAATATTGCACTTTATTGCACCAAACACTGCACTTGCCAATATTGCACGTAACTACTTCGGGCACCGCACTACACAATATTGCACTAAATCGCAACGAACACTTCGCTCTACAATATTGCACTGAATCACTGAGCACCCCACTAGTCAATATTGCACTTAATCGCTTAGTCACAGCGAGCACCGCACTGCACAATATTGCACTTAGTCACTCTTGAGCACCGCACAGGACGTATAACGTCACAATCGTCACACAGGGGGAATTATTTACAGGGATTACGCCACTTCACCATCCCTGTCAAACATACTTAACAAGGGGACGGATCCCGCTGGGGATGCCAATTATGTTACGGCCCTGTCGGGACGCAATGGGGTTCTTACTCTGATGTTGTTAGAGGAAGATATATCCGTTCCCAAGCCAGTAGTGGCTATCAAGGGATGTGATCCGTGACGCAAGTAACTTAAAGGGAGTAGGGGAAAGAAAGTTAAGAACTTAAGACTATAATTATCACCATCACCAAATAAATAATATATAAAATAGTGCACAGGGGGAGGGGTATTAACACTGTACAAGGGAATTGTCTTCGTACTGAAGAATCGCACAATGGTCTTCTCCTGAAGACTCTGGTTCAACTCTCTCGGTGCTGAGTCCTCGGTGCTTCTTCGTGGCCTCACAACGAATCCTTCTGAGAAGCTGAGCCTACCCTGGCCACAGGTCAGCCAAAACACAGGTCCACTGGGGGCACCGCCGTGGAGGCCGTCAACCACAAATCCAGCCGATCTCCTGGCAGGTTCCGGACCCGCAACGCTGGTCAGGCCACTCCACGAACGATATTAGGGTAACGCCCTAGACAGGAGCCTCGTGTGATACCCCAAATCACTCTCCTGTCCTCGATACCCCAGTGGATAATCGTCTCCAGCAGTCGGTCCCGGGTAATCCTTCTACTGCCACTCCACTGGCAGGCTAACACACCACAGTGTTCTTCCGGGGGGGCGACTTCACAACTGCTGCAGCAAAGTACCAGGTATGGAGACGGCTGCCTCGGGTAGACTGACTCAACTTCCAACACAGTGGTCCCAGGTCGACTCTGTAAGCAGACACGTCATCAATAACTGGGACACACTAAGGCACCTCACTTACAGGCTTAGACACAAACGCCCACCTATCCACTCCATAGATGGCGCTGGTGTCTGAGCACCACCTCACCAGAGGTCAGCAGCGGCGGTGTAGAGTGCTGAACGGGACTGGAAACTGGCCCTTGTGGCCAGTACACGCCATCCTCACCAGGTGTCGTCGTCCGATTGGAGGGGGTTTCGGGAGCTGACCCACAGATGGCGCGGTGGTCACTGCTCCGTGCTCGGACGCTGGATCCGGGTTCGTAACATTAGGACTATATAAAACCTACTAAATGTTTGCGTTTAATAAATTACACTCAAGATTTACTTCCCTCAAGGGTACGTTCTGGAAATCTCCAGTTATTCCCCACATAATTATTACCTCCCCAGTAATACTGGAGAGGTAATAAGGAGGTAGACTGTATAAATTGTAAAACACTCTAATAGTAAAGATTGGGATGCGCCTTTATCCCTCAAATTTTTAACATCATGCCACAACCATTTGCACACTGTAATTTCAAATTTGATGTAAACTCTCCAAAATGAATTATGGCAAGTGCCTTTTTCCCCATTATTTTTGTTCTATAATCTTTTGCCTATAAGCCTCAGGAACAAGGTAATGAGAAGGATGGCTGCCTATCCCATGACATAGTCAAAACTGTCAATCAAAGGAATAGCGGCAAATATCCGGTTTCTTTTATAACTAACTGACCTTGAAGAAAAGATACCCATTGTATTTCAGGCCATTCCATACTGTAAAATTTCCTAAAATGAGTGAAGAACTGATCTGGGTTAGTCTCACAAAATAGAGGAAACTTGACATTTTTGTTTATCTTTAACTGCCCAAATGTTCTTAAGTCAACAACACCGGAATTTTCTGATCAAATTCTAAATTTTGCTAGCTTAGGCTAGCAAAACTACGAATTTGCTAGAAAGAATTCTCTCACTCCAATTTTTCTGAGTTTGCTCCACTTCTAACCTCTTCATAGCTAGTTCTTGCCATGCCTCTAGCCTCTTCTGAGCTTGTTCTGCCTCTAACTGCAACTCCTTTAGTTCCAATTCTGAATGCCATTGTGTCTGAGTCTTTACATTGCCTGTTTCAACATCATGTGCACCACAGCAATATTTCCTAATCTACCCAGTCCACCATTACCTCTCTTAGCAGTCCTTCTTCACCATTTCCATGTGCAATAATATTTCACAGTCCTTGCCAACAGTCACTAAGATAGACATTTTTGCTGCTTTCAAACACTCAACACTAGGAGTGTCAACAATTTATTGTGCTACTAAATCTATTGTTTGTCCTAAGATAAACACGAGTCAAGAACAAATTTAATGCTTCAGCGCCACCTTTCTCTTTTAAGCTCAGAATTAGTTTCGAAAAACTGATGGGGACAGTGTTAGTTCACTTGACTGTCCTGTCAACTGGCAAATTTTTGCACGTGAGACCACAATTCTTTTTTTTATACAATTTCATAAAGATTTGTAAAATCTACACTCAATATGTAATAGAATACATAAACTCATTTTCTACCATTATTTAAAATATTGTAAATTTCTACTCAAGTCAAAGTGAAGAAATAAGCAAAACAATTGTTTGACCTAACCACACACTAGAAAGTGAAGAGATGACAAAATTTCTGTCTGTTATTGATCATTATCAAGTCGTTTGTGATAATGGTGACAATTGACTTGATAATGGTCAAGGACAGACTGAAACATTGTCATCTCTTCACTTTCTAGTGTGTCGAGTCAGTCAATGAAGTCGATTGTGACCAATCGATTGTCACAAACGACTTGATAATGATCCATAACAGACCAAAACTTCGTCATCTCTTCACTTTCTAGTGTGTGTTTTGGTCAAACATTTTTCAGCAACGATATTGTGACTTGATCTGCATAGGCTTCACAATTTTTATGTCAGGTTTACCATACAGGCTAGCCACTTTTCTCAAGGCTTCCCAATATGTAAGGTCCTCCCGGACAGGCCCTCAATTCTGTCATGACTAAGGGGTATGTGGTCATGAATTTTTAAATATTGTCTAGGGAGGGAGGGAGCCGGTCAGCCAAGTGGAACGCACGCTGGACATGTGATCCTGTGGTCCCGGGTTTGATCCCCGGTGCCGGAGGGAAACAATGGGCACAGTTTCTGTCACCCTATGCCCTTGTTACCTAGCAGTAAAATAGGTACCTGGGTGTTAGTCAGCTGTCACGGGCTGCTTCCTGGGGGTGGAGGCCTGCTCGAGGACCGGGCCACGGGGACACTAAAGCCCCGAAATCATCTCAAGATAACCTCGAGATAGGGGAATAGAATCTTTAACTTGAGCCATGGGGTGTTCAAGGAGTAGGGAATGAGCAAAGTACATAAGACAAAGATTTAAATGTGCCAAAGGGAATTCTAGGAGGAGTAGGGAAAGAGCAAAGTACACGAGACAAAGATTTATATGTATATATATATATATATATATATATATATATATATATATATATATATATATATATATATATATATATATATATATATATATTATATATATTATTATACAAGACATAATACATGTCATAATTTGTACTCTTTACAATTCAAGGCCTATCTGAAGGTAACAACTTGGTTAATAAAACTCCCGAAAGGGCTCTGGACACCCCATGGCTTAGTCCCAAAACTGGAACTGTGCACTCAGCCACCACACTGGTCAACTGGTGACACACTTAGAAACCACTAAGAAACCTAAACTCTCCTCATTTCCCCACTCAAAGCCACAGTACTGATCCTGTGCCAGGTATGTCCATTACGGGCTTACCAAAGCCCGCGTTACTTGACCCGCTCCTGTGCCAGGTAAGTTACGCGCTCTCAATAGCCCATGCTTCTGGGAACTTGTTCCGTGTAGCAACCCTGTTAAAATTAAACTATGGCTTATCTGATTGAACAACCGTTGAAAACTCTCTGTAAACAAGGTCTGGTCGTCAACGTTCCACCTCTCCTCAGGTCAAAGATGACATCTGGCACTCTTGAGTCATCGCCTCTTAATACTCTTATACTTTACATTTCGAATCAAACCCTTTATTGAATTCATTTACCATATTCCCCATGCAGGTTTTTTGATTGATTCCATTTTTCCTTCACATAGTTTTGCTATTCCAATACACATTATTCCTAAACAATCTCCAGCTCAGAAGGCACTACTTTGCTTGGCAGAGTGATACTAGTCACTCACGGCCTCCCAGTTATCAGCTGCAGATTTATTTCAAGAAAACATTCTCCAATGTGTCCACCAACAATTTATAATAGAAACTAACATCAGCATCATTTCATTCAAACAAATACAGGATAAAAATAAACAAATAGATGTGTGTTGTCTAAAGTGTATTTCTCAAATCACAGCAACATTTCACAGATCACAGTGGTAGTCAATCAAAGTTGAAAACATGAAGTTAAAGGAACAAATCCAATTTGGAAAAGTTATGCGGCGTCTCGTATGAGACACATTCCATTTCTTTATAAAAATTTAAGATTTTATACAAAATTATAAAGTGATGTTCACATGCTATAAAACATTATGATGAATGTAAGTACAGAAAACTATATCTTTATACTCAAGACTGCAATGGTAACAATCCCATTGTTACGTGAATAAATTTTTAAATTACAGTTCCTATTGTAATGATTAAATACAGTTCCTTATTCTTTATCTGTACAAATTATATTTACATACATATACTTTGAAGGTAGTGAGATTACACTACCAAAGACATACATGACATTTTTCATCATAGGGTAGTGCTCATGTTAGGGGGTGAATGGATGATGGTGAACAAACTGAGTAGAGTGCGAGTTGTCTTAACCATGGAAGAGGCGAGGCGTGCGTTTATCATATCGTGGAGTATTGCTAGGTGTGTGGTCATCATATTGTGGAGTATTGCTGGGTGTGTGGTCATCATATTGTTTAGTATTGCTGGGTGTGTGGTCATCATATTGTGGAGTATTGCTGGGTGTGTGACCATCATATTGTTTAGTATTGCTAGGTGTGTGGTCATCATATTGTGGAGTATTGCTGGGTGTGTGGTCATCATATTGTGGAGTATTGCTGGGTGTGTGGTCATCATATTGTGGAGTATTGCTGGGTGTGTGGTCATCATATTGTTTAGTATTGCTAGGAGTGTGGTCATCATATTGTGGAGTATTGCTGGGTGTGTGGTCATCATATTGTTTAGTATTGCTGGGTGTGTGGTCATCATATTGTTTAGTATTTCTAGGTGTGTGGTCATCATATTGTGGAGTATTACTGGGTGTGTGGTCATCATATTGTGGAGTATTACTGGGTGTGTGGTCATCATATTGTGGAGTATTGCTAGGTGTGTGGTCATCATATTGAGGAGTATTGCTAGGTGTGTGATCATCATATTGTGTAGTATTGCTGGGTGTGTGGTCATCATATTGTGGAGTATTGCTGGGTGTGTGGTCATCATATTGTGGAGTATTACTGGGTGTGTGAGCATCATATCGTGGAGTACGGCGAGCTGAGTAGTCATCATATTGAGGAGTACGGCGAGATGTGCGGTCATCATATCGTTTAGAATTGCGACGCGTGTGGTCATCATACTGAGGAGTATGGCGAGGTGTGCGGACATCATATTGAAGAGTACTGCGAGATGTGTGGTCATCAAATCGTGGAGTATGGCGAGATGTGCGGTTATCATACTGACGAGTACGGCGATGTTTTCGGTCATCATATTGACGAGTATGGCGATGTTTGCGGTTATCATATTGAGTATGGCGAGGTTTACGGTCATCATATCGTGGAGTATGGCGAGGTGTACGGTCATCATATCGTGGAGTATGGCGAGGTGTACGGTCATCATATCGTGGAGTATGGCGAGGTGTACGGTCATCATATCGTGGAGTATGGCGAGGTGTACGGTCATCATATCGTGGAGTATGGCGAGGTGTTCGGTCATCATATCGTGGAATATGGACAGGTGTTCGGTTATCATATCGTGGAGTATAACGAGGTGTTCGGTCATCATATCGTGGAGTATGGCGAGGACTGCGGTCATCATATTGAGTATTGCGAGATCCATCGTCAGGATATTTTAGACTAGAGAGGGATCTAGAGTCACAATTATTAGAGTACCGATGAGTTGACTGGCTTCCATTATTGCGTTGTGGAGTCATCCTTCGTCTATTACGCCCATTACTCTCACCGATAACTTCCACCAAAGCATTTGCTGCCATTTTGCAATCCATAGCTTGGCTGCTGACTGGGGGTCCACCGCGAGATGGCTGAGGAAAGTTTTCAGTTACTTTGGTCGTCATAAGCTGAGAATATGCTCTCTCATATTGATGTGAGGGAGTTGGATTTGTTAGCATATGTGTCTGTGATCCACTATAGCGCGGTATGGTGGATGGTCCCGGGGTGGCATACGGTGTCATGAATGATGTCTGATCTGAAGGTGTGACAGGAGCATTAGCGTATTTTGAGAAACCCTGAGAGAATGATGATGATGATTCGTCATCATCGTCGTTCCGCCGTTTTCGTTTGCCATAGTTTTCACTGTCTGACCCCGAATCTCCTTCATCATCATCTTCATCGTCGTCGTTAATGAAGTCTTTATTTTCTTCGCGAATTTTCTTTTCATCTGTCAATAAATAACCAGAGATGAGTGACATGAAACTTATTTTCTCTTATTTTGTTGTTCATATTAGTTTTAGTTAGTTTAGTTCATTTATTATGCATCCCATACCCATTTTGTGGGAAAGGGGTAGTGGAAAGGGCTACAGAGGCACATAATTGGCTTAAGGAATTAACCCTACAGTTTATTTAGCAAAGCAAATTAAAATCTTGATGAGCTAGTTAAATAATCAAACAGGCTCGAGAACGACCACAGTTGCAGTTTTTAAATTAAGCAACTGACATATGTAGAGCACTCCCTTCATCTTTTGAAGTATTAAAGGACTGGCATATATCAAAAGGCTTTATGGTATAATTGGAAGCACAGAAGCAAGACTTTGTGGTATATTAAATTGGAAGAAGAGAAGCAAGGCTTTATGGTATAATAACTTGGAAGCACAGAAGCAAGGTATGGCATATATGGAACTTGGAAGCACAGAAACAGGGCTTTATGGTATAATAACTTGTAAGCACAGAAACAAGGCTGTGTGATATAATAACTTGGAAGCATAAAAGCAAGGCTTTATGGTATAATAACTCAGCACTGGGAAGCTTCTGAGCCCAAGCAACAGCCTGTTGGACCAAGCTCTCACAATTCAATCCTGGCCTCGAACTGAGTTTGGGGAGTTGAAATTCCAGAACCTCTTCAGGTATGGATGAATCAAATACATACTAAGCACCAAGGCGAGGAAACACTGAGAACTTTTGCACCACTTACCATCGTCGTCAACCTCTTCCGAAGAGTCAGCTACAGCAGTTTTTAGTTTTTTCAATTTTTTCCTTTCATTTTCTTCATATTCTTCTTGCTCTTCTTCACTCTCCTCTGCTTTTGAGTAAATAAACTGGGACATGATAGGTGGTCTCTCTAAAATCCTGAAGATACAAGAATATTAAATTAATAACTTTAATTGTTTTTTTTTTAGAAAACTGATTCACATTTTAAATAAACCCATATATATATATATATATATATATAGCTGTCGATATATATATATATATATATATATATATATACTTCTTCATCTGCTTTTGAGTAAATAAACTGGGACATGATAGGTGGTCTCTCTAAAATCCTGAAGATACAAGAATATATAATATTGTTTTTTTTTTTTAGAAAACTGATTCACATTTTAAATAAATATATATATATATATATATATATATATATATATATATATATATATATATATATATATATATATATATATATATATATATATATATATATATATATATATAGCTGTCGATCGTAACGGTAATTACGATCAACGGTTATTATACCATAAAGCAATAGTTGATTCATTGCAACTATTGTTGCTGTTGTTTTAGATTTAGCTACTCAGAACGAAATGTCCATGTAGCACTGCCTATGGTGAGCCCGTAATTGAGTTCGGTAATTCGCGATAACCTTGTTACTCTGATATTTGGCCCAAAGTATTAAATGGAGGTGGTGTTTCCTCCTTTTCCCTATGTAGTCGAGTTTTAATAACATTATCTTGGTGGTGGATGTAGGTCCAGAATGTATACTAGTGAGTCACATTTCATAATGGCTTTTCTAATCATTGTAGTGGCTGTGGAATGTGCATCTAATGCAGCTGCTGTCGTTGGATTAATTAGATGTGTAGGGCTTCAGTAGCTTCACATTCCAGTAAGTAGTGCAATAGTGCCTCTGCTTGTGTTCCACTGATGACACTCTGACTATTGGGATTATTACCTCCTAACTGCACTTGTAACCAAGTCTGAGTCTGTGTATGGCTAGTGCAATGTCTCTGGATATCTGTTTGTCAGGCCTGAAACAACCCATTGGGTTGTTCGTACCATATCGCAGTGGATCTTCCTTCCGCTACTGAAACGTCAGGAGATCCGATTCGGGTGAATCATCGGAACATCCGATCCGATGTGAGTGCTATCGGTCTGTAATTTTTTGCCTCTGCCTTATTTCCTCCTTTATGAAGTGGTGCTATCTCTGCGGTTTTTAGTATACTGGCGTTATTCCTGATACACTAAAAACAACAGAGATAACACCACTTCATAAAGGAGGAAATAAGGCAGAGGCAAAAAATTACAGACCGATAGCACTAACATCGCACATCATAACAAATTTTGAGTGCTAAGAAGTAAGATCACAAAATACATGGAATCACAGCATCTCCATAACCCCGGACAACATGGTTTCAGAACAGGGCGCTCTTGCCTGTCGCAGTTGCTGGACCACTATGATATGGCATTAGATGCTATGGAAGACAAACAAAACGCTGATGTAATTTACACAGATTTTGCAAAAACTTTTGATAAATGTGACCATTATGTATCTATATGGTGTTATTGCACATAAAATGCGTTCAAAAGGAATTACCGGAAAAATAGGCAGACGGATCTACAATTTCCTGACCAACAGAACCCAATGTGTAATAGTCAACAAAATAAAATCCAGCCCATCAACCGTGAAGAGCTCAGTCTCCCAGGGTACTGTGCTTGCTCCAGTAATTTTTCTCATCCTCATATCGGACAAGAACACAACCTATATCACTGTATCATCCTTTACAGATGACACTAGGATCTTCATGAGTAGGCAACATAGAGGACACGGCAAACCTCCAGTCAGATGTAGATCAGGTCTACAGAAAATAATATGGTGTTTAACGAAGATAAGTTCGTTGAAAAGCAGAGGTGCAACAGGTACTCTGAGAGAGAACTCTATCAACATCAGAGGCCCGAGACTGTTCAACACGCTTCCGCTACACATAAGAGGCATAACTGGCAATCCCCTCACAGTCTTCAAGAGAGAACTGGATAAGCACCTCCAAAGGATACCTGATCAACCAGGCTGTGACTCATACGTCAGGCTGCGAGCAGCTGCGTCCAACAGCCTGGTTGATCAGTCCAGCAACCAGGAGGCCTGGTCGACGACCCCGGGCCGCTAAGCCCCAGAAGCACCTCAAGGTATGGTCTGCTAGGGACAAGAAACTGGAGCTGCAGTTGGAGACTCTGAAATGGGTGTTCAACTGTTGCGAGATGCATATCATCAATTAATGCAAGCATTGAAACGTCAAGGCCGTCGGGTACTTATCAACTGGATGCCAAGTCATGTAAGAATAATAGGAAATGACATTGCAGAAGAAAAAAATGTTGACATTTTAAGAGAAAAAACAACTTTGTTGTTGAAAACTAAGAGAAAAAATGTTGACATTTACATACCTAAAGTCTATTACTTTATATTAAGAAAGTAATTAGAAACAGTGACCACAACACATCAGTTGTCACATCAGGATCTGCAAGTTGGTACAAGAATTCAGCCAACTATGAACCACTTATTTTTAAGAATGGGAGCAGTAGAACAATAGAAGTACACTTACATCGCATCTGGCTTGGATTCTCATGTGCATGGGAAATAGACTTACAGGTTCCGGAAGATGAGAGGAAATGATGAAATTAGGAAAATTCAGCACTGGAGAAATGCCCGGCAGACCACTGGAACATTAGCTGACTCAGTGTACAGTTTCAGTTACAAACTCATTCAATTTCAACCTAGATTCAACGTATCAGAAGTTGTTAAACACATGGGGCCAAATCTTACTGAAGCGACCATACTTGTCATAAATACTTATTCTCCTAAGTAAAACAAAAACCAAGAGGCTTAAAGCTTCTGTTATAATTATAATAGAAGTAAGATACCTTGATTCTTTCAATAGTTGGTTAAACATATATGAATGAGATTGGGTGGATATAAACAGGTGCTGCCTCGCATGGGCCAATAGGCCTTCTGCAATTTGCTTCATTCTTTGGTATAGCTAAGCCCCCAAAACGTACGAATAATGATAACTGCAGAAGGCCTATTGCCCAATCGAGGCAGCTCCTATTTATAACCACCCAATCTCACTTATATACTTGTCCAACCCACATTAGAAACAATCAAGTTACCCCTACCTCCACCACGTTACACAGTAATTGAGTAATTGGTTCCACATATCAAGGACCCTGTTGCGTTGCCAGTATTTAACCAGCGCTTTCCTAAAACTAAACTTATGCAATTTATACCATTTGTTTAGTGTTCTGTTTTGTCATTCAAGACGAGGTTTACAAGTTACTTCCACTCTTCGCGTTGTCAGTGAATGCACTTTAAATTTTGTTATTTTTTCTTAATATGACATGTTTCTTGTTTGGGGGATTAACTTTGTCATCCTACGCTGGATACGTTCAAGTGAATTTATATCCATTCTAAAGTATGGCGACCAAAACTGAACATCTAAATGGGGCCTAACCAGATCAAGATATGTTACCTTGAAGTGTTTCCGGGGCTTAGCGTCCCCGCAGCCCGGTCTTCGACCAGGCTTCCTCTTTGCTGGACTGGTCAACCAGGCTGTTTGACGCGGCTGCTCGCAGCCTGACGTATGAATCACAGCCTGGTTGATCAGGTATCATTTGGAGATGCTTATCCAGTTCTCTTGAACAATGACTGAAGGCTGAATATGGCTGAAGAACAACACCACGTGTCTTGTTAGTAACGTCAACATACTTATGTATGTTGTAGTTACTAACTAGTATGGGGTCTGAAGTATGGTCAACATACTTCAGCCACGTTATTGTGACTCATCGCCTGCATTGTTACTAACGCTTCGATTAATAAATTCCAGCGTCCTATTTGCCTTATTATGAACATTTATGCATTGATTTTTTGGTTTTAAATTCTTACTAATCATAACTCTCAGATCCCTTTTGCAATCCGACACCATCTAGCTCGTATCTAGTAACTCTTTTACCATTACCAATTCCAACTAAATATAGCACCCCAATACCGCGAGACTGATTGAAACTTTTCAATCAGTCTTTCAAGTGTCACTGTATCAAAAGCATTGTTGCTGCATCTCATGATGAAGACGAATGGTACACACAGAAATCACAATAGCGTGATATATCAAA